TCCCTCCCTCCTCTCTCTCTCTCTCTCTCTCTCTCTCTCTCTCGAACACTGAGCAGTCGATAGTGTGAATAGCATTTGTATAGTAATTATTAGATTTATTAGTGTGAATAGTATTTGTGTTAGGTTTTTGAAAAATGCCGAAAGTGAAGAAGAAAGTGAAGAATAAAAACGTATTAGTGAAAAGCTGAATTGATCAAATCGGTGACACATAATTAACATATGATGGAAGTTCTGTTTATTGCAGTGGATGTAACAACAAAGAGGTAATAAATAATATTATTAATAAATAGTATCTATTTGAGACCAATCTTAGTAAAATTATGTTTCTAATATTTTATAGATTACATGTGACAGAAAATCACAATTAACTCAGCATGTTTCAACATCCACACATAAAATGAATGTGTTACATTTAGAAAATAATGAAGAAAGTAATAAATCAATTGAAGAAATGCAGCATTCAAAACATAACAATAATTTTCATTTCGATCTATACAAAGCTATGATTGCTGTTAAAATGCCTTGGCGTTGTCTTGACAATGAGACATGGAGAAATTTCCTCGTTAAATACACACGTCAACAAATTCCAAATGAGTCAACTTTGCGGAAAAATTATTTGGATGTCTGCTACAATTCGGTTATCGAAAATATTAGGTCGGATATTAATGAGCATTATATTTGGATATCTGTAGACGAAACCACAGATAAACTCGGTCGTCAAGTCGCAAATTTAATAGGTAATTTTTTACTTAAATTTTATTATGTAAAATTTTTATTAATTTTCTTGAATTTCTAGTCGGTAAACTGTGTGACGAACCTACTAAACCTCATCTACTTTCATCTCAAGTCCTGGAGAAAACCAATCATGCCACTATTGCTCGCTTTATAAATTCAAATATAAAAATCTTGTGGCCAAAAGAGTTCCACGAAGAACGAGTTTTATTACTTGTAACAGATGCAGCTGCATATATGTTAAAAGCTGGAAGAGATCTTAAAATCTTCTATCCAAACATTATTCACCTAACATGTTTGGTACATGGATTCAATAGAGTGGCTGAAAAAGTTCGTCTTCACTTTCCTCTCGTTAACACTTTAATCTCTTCAGTAAAAAAAATATTTCTAAAAGCTCCGCTTCGTATAGAAGAATACCGAGCAAAATTAATAAATGTTCCATTACCACCTGAACCAATTTTGACAAGATGGGGAACGTGGCTTGAAGCTGCACTTTTTTATGCAGATAATTTAGCCGGTATTCGAGAAGTATGCATTAATTTTTTTATCCAATAATTAAAAATATAATTCAACTTAATAAAATAACATTTTGATTTAATCACAGGTTATTGAATCTTTCAATTCAGAAGACGCTATGTCGATTATTTCAGCGAAGAATGTACTTCAAAATCCACAGCTTGTCAAAGATTTATGTTATATTGAAACATATTTCAAAAATCTTCCAAAAGTAATGACAAAACTGGAATCAGTAGGATTACCTTTAACCGAATCGATTGAAATAGTAAGGTCGTGTATTGAAGATTTCAAAGCGATTCCAGGATCTTGTGGACAAATAGTTTCAGAAAAAATACAGCAGATTCTAAATAAAAATCCTGGAGTGAAGGAAATATTTAGAGTTAGTGACGTATTAAAATACACGCCTAATTCTGAAAGTCCTGAAGAGATTCCATCTTCTTTATGGAGCAAATACTCGTATAAATATGCTCCCGTTACATCCCTGTGATGTTGAAAGATCATTCTCTGCTTATAAATTAATTCTATCAGAGAAAAGGCATAATTTCACTCCAGCTAATCTTGAAAAAAATCTTATTATTTATTGTCATTTAAATTACAATCAATAGTATTATGTATATTTCTTTATATATTTACGTATTTATATATGCTGCTTTTGCATTTATTATGTATGATTTGCTTATGTATAAAATATCCTTCATTTTCATGTGATTGCTAATCATTAATTACATATCGAATTTTGAAAATAAGGTGCATATTATCTGTATTTATTTTGCATATCATGTATATATGCTGCATAAACAATACATATTTTTTGTGCATATATTTTGCATATCTCAATATGCACTTATTAAACAATTTAAAATCGTTAGGTCAGTATGGATCTTTTGTTATTATTACCCAAATCCAAAAAAAATGTTACTGCATAGAAATCAGCAGTCTAGTAATAAATAACGCCAACTAAGCACATGTCCTAATGTAATTGCTAGAATCTTCGCAAAAACATGACATAGTTGTTATAAAACTGCCGAAGGTGACAAACATATACAGACACTCGGCTAGAGAAGACTTAGACGGCACAAGTATCTCGCAGTGGGACCGTTTCGGTATCGGAATTCCAAATATTATATTAATTCCAACTATAATTATTTTGTAAAGTTTCGAGTAAAAAGTGATGAGTGATCAAGAAAAGAAAATATACACTTCAAAGAAAGGTACCAAGACAAACACAACGGCAACAAAACGGAGCGATGCAGCGAAAGAGGCTCGCTCGAGCTTACAATCTGCGAGAAAGGACAAAGAAGATGAAAATCTTGCTGTTGAAGGGCAACTTTATGGTCCTGGGATCACAGACTAAAGTTAAATTCAGTATAAGTAACAAAATTTCAATTGTTTCTAAAAATATCAACATTCGAAACTTTAAACGCGTTTTTCTCGAAACAGCATTTTTAAACCTTTGTAATCAATAATTGAGTCGACAAATTCTGGCACAATTCATGTATTTAATTAATCACGACGTTTCGATCAGTAATACTGATCCTTTTCAAGTGGATGTTATAATAAGTCTATTGGTTGTTACAGCAACAAATCTGGAAATTATATGGGAGTAACAATAGAGATTTAAGAGGTTGAAAGAGAAAATACAAATGAAAACTTACAGAAAGTATGTCGTGGCGCATGATAAAATTATAAGAGAAAATTTGGAACTAAAATCACTCATCACGTCAACCACCACGGTCTGATCGTATAAAAGTCTAAAGAAAAACTGCCAAGATAAAGTCAAGTGAGAACAATAGTTATTAACCGGTGTATCGTCAAAATATAAGATACCCAAGGGAGGGGAGGGAAGGGGGAGAATGACGAATAACAAAACAGGCAAATAAATAAATAAATCAGGTGATGCGAACGATTTTATCGTAGATGGGATTGAGGTTGTCGGTGTCTTGTTGGAGATTTATTGTGTTGTGGGATTTTTTGATGAAAAACATCTCGGCAATTTCTCTCTTACGATGATGAGATTCTTTGTGTAGGATGGTAGGGTTGTGCCAATCAAATTCGTGGCCTAGAAGAGTCCGATGTTTACTGACCACAGAGTGGTTGCTTGTCGGTTTTTTTATGTCATTACAATGTTCTTTTATCCTTGTTTCGATGTGTCTTTTTGTCTGGCCGATATAAGAAGCGTCGCAGTTAATACAAAACTTACCTTTTTAAAAAAAGGTAAATAAAAGCACCAAGTCTAAGCTCCAATTCAACCGAATTTATTTTGTTACTCTATCTTTCTTGCAAAAGTATAATCTCTACAAAAATATCTTTACTGCAAAAGCATCTTCTTTACAAAAATAGTGTCGCCACAAAAATCTTCTGTACAAAAATATCGTCTCTACAAAAATATCTTCTCTACAAAACTATCTTCTCTACAAAAGTAATGATATCAACAAATTGCGCCAAATAAAACAGCGGATATTTATACACACTAGTTGCTTTAGCATTAGTTTTTGATTAAAAAATGTAATATTTCTTAAAAATCAAACTAAAGATTTTATTGGAAAAAATAATCGAGTTAATAATAAAACACCGATAAAAAGAATAGCAACTGTTTAGAAATTTAGAAACTCTGTATCTGTTCAGGCGAATTAAGGCGTGTGTCTATGACGCTAGTACTTGGTCCAAGTTTCTAATTCCGCGAAATATGTAGCCAATCAATGTAGCTGTTCCACAAAAGCTGCAAGTTGATTGGCTACGCATTCCTCAAAACTAGAACTTAGACCAAGTACTAGCGTCATAGACACATGCCTTAATTCGCCTGAACAGATACAGAGTTTCTAAATTTCTAAACAGTTGCTATTCTTTTCATCGGTGTTTTATTATTAACTCGATTATTTTTTCCAATAAAATCTTTAGTTTGATTTTTTAAGAAATATAACATTTTTTAATAAAAAACTAATGCTAAAGCAACTAGTGTGTATAAATATCCGCTGTTTTATTTGGCGCAATTTGTTGATATCATTACTTTTGTAGAGAAGATAGTTTTGTAGAGAAGATATTTTTGTAGAGACGATATTTTTGTACAGAAGATTTTTGTGGCGACACTATTTTTGTAAAGAAGATGCTTTTGCAGTAAAGATATTTTTGTAGAGATCATAC